CCAGTTGTACTTTAAAATGATCTAATTGATGAATGGCACGAAGACAAATCATCAGTAGCCCAGTACATTTTCACTTGTGAAAAGGTCGCAATTGCTAACAACAAAGGATCAAAGTGGAAATTTACTACTTTGAGGTTTGTATGTTCTTCACTTGGTTTTATGACAGAGGAATAGAGAAATGCATTTACATTAAGGCTATGATAACACAAGCTGAATGAATGATTGAGCATAATAACAACAAAGATAAACTGAGACAACATAAGAACTGTAGTGCACTAATGCTGATGCTGTAGTTTAAGACAAATGTAGAAAAGCCTGGCATGGATGTAGTGTCAGTAATATCAATCATAGGTTTTTGTAAGAGAGGAGATTTGCTGCTCAATGCAATCTCTGAGTCAATCCAGCCAGACAGTCAAATATGGAGGACAGGTGGAAAGGAGTTAATGACATTTTCAAAATAATATTAAACTATCTGGCATGAATTGCGAGACACTCAGCTAACACTAGATTCCCAAATGATCTAACCATGAATGGATGGACTGATGGGATGTAGTGTGCCAGCTCTTCTCCTGAAGGCAGTGGGCAGCCCATCATGTCCACTTGTACAAGCTGTCATCACTGCGGCTGTGGGAAACATGAAGCTGACAGTTGATGATCTTGTTTGCCACCCAGTCACAGTCGTGTCGAGCAAAGCAGAGGCAAGAAGAGAACTGGTACACACTTGAGGGTGGGTGTGATGCTGGGTCTGTACAGTGGTGCTTCAAGGGTGTTTAACTAAGGACACGCCTTGACGTTTAGAATTTCAGCAGATTGTTTTTCATCTTAATAGGACCTCACAGAAACATAGTTTCAGCTGTTGTCTTTTAGCTCCTGCCACAAGTCCTGGGTTAAGATCTATCATGTCTTATATGTAGCCCCCTCAAAGCCTTCCAGCCTCTGTTATCTCAATATTTAAAGTGAATATGCAAATAAAGACAGATATGTCAAGTATCAAAAAAATCTGCCTGTAATTTCATTTGCTCACATTCTTGTGGGAACACAGGGGACTCAGTGAGATGCAGTGAAGCTGTGTCCTTGGTTTCAATGAGGAATGCCAACAATCCTAGCTATCCATCCTGGGAAAACTGAAGGACAAATGTAGACAGTGTTTCCCACACTGTGCTCATGTTTGATAAGGAAAACAAACCAAAGAAAATCAAACAACCAAGTCACAAGTAATGCCATGCTGTCAGTCCTGGCTGGATTCCTACACATCCATCACAACATTACAGGGAGAACGTCTACTGCTCTCCTCCTGCTCTCTATTGGTGTTTTTGATTAATTTTGTTCAGTATGACTGCAGGATCATTTGTCCTTTATGACCCATCTGCACAAAATCAGTCGCATTGCGCCTTGGGCTATATCCGAGATACAGCCTGAATTACGTTAACACATGATAAAATGTTGATTTTGAGTTTATTACTGAGATCAGTCCATTTAATTGTTTTCTATATGTAGGTAACATATAATATTACAGAGCGTAATACGCTCCATATCGCTGTCAAATATCATCAGGCGCAATGAAACTGATATCGTGCAGATGGGTCCCATTTGTCTGTAATATATATTATGCATTGGTAAACGTTTTCTGATCCTGAATGCAGCGGTTGGGATTATGACCTCTTTGTTCTCAGTCTGCCAAAGAGTTTCCTGAAATGCCTGTTGAGGACATCCTGATCAAACCCTTAAGACATATTAGCTGGCTCCTTCTAATATAAAGGAGCAGTAGTTTGTCTATGGGGTCCCTGCAGATGTCTGAGCTCCTCAGTTTCTTGTAATCACAATCTCATTCTTTCAGTCACAAGCCAAAGGTCATGATGTGGAAGGAATATTGAAGTTAAACTGAGAGCATCACTTTATTGTGGTGGATGGGTTTTGGTGACCCTATGAACCTGTGAGCTGTAATATAAAATAAATTGCTGCTGGTGGTCTCCCAAGGGACACTGACTCAAGATGAGTGGCCTTACTAAGAGTGATTTAAAAACTCCTATGGATCGACCAGGTCTGTCCTTATGGATCAACTAGTGCTGCCCTTTCCAAGTCAGCCGCAAGAACATCGACTTGACTTTCTGTTTCTCCATCGACTTGACAAACTTCCAACATGCACAGCTGACTGCATTGCATATTAACGAAGTATACTTTTATCAATATGTTTGGAGTAAGTACCTTTAAGCCCACTATATGAGCAAATTGACAGGGGCAGTACATAATGTATTTTACACAGTCACTGCTTGACACTAAAGCTTTATAAAAAGTGTCAAAGGTTAACTTAAAAGAAAGACTGGTAGGGTGCACCTGCCCCACACTGTGGAAGAGGGGCACTCAAAGCATGTGTACATTAATGCTCTGGACCCCAAAACACACCACTTTAAAACACATCAGGTTAGAAAGGCATCCATCCATCCATTATCTATACACCGCTTAAGCCTCACTAGGGTCGCGGGGGGGCTGGAGTCTATCCCAGCTGACTTAGGGCGAAGGCAGGGGACACCCTGGACAGGTCGCCAGTCTATCACAGGGCTACACATAGAGACAAACAACCAAGCACACTCACACTCACACCTACGGACAATTTAGAATCACTAATTAACCTCAACATGTTTTTGGACTGTGGGAGGAAGCTGGAGAACCCAGAGAGAACCCACGCTGCACAGGGAGAACATGCAAACTCCACACAGAAAGATCCCGGGTGTCCTCACCGGGACGCGAACCGGCAACCTTCTAGCTGCGAGGCAACGATGCTAACCACCGAGCCAGCTTGCAGCCTAGGTTTGAAAGGCATGTTATCTTTATAAAAAAAATCAAAAAAATCAAAATCACACCATTTATCAGTACCAAACACGGTAAAAACATAATTGTCAGATTTTCAACTTTCCTATGATCCTACCTTTAAAATTGTGAAATTTAATGTTTCATTTTAAAAAGTACACCAAAAAAAAACATGTCAGATTCTGTAAAAAACTAAATTGTTGTGGGGCTTTTTGGCTAATCTAGGCTGAACTGCAGTCTGTGCAGATAGGAGACAAGAACAGAAACTAATTAAAAATGTCAGCAGTGAAATACATTACAGTTACTTAAGTGATCATTTTGTCCAGTATTGTCAACACCTGGGGGTACTTTGAAAAAAAATCAACATATACAACATTTTTCTTTGTTTGTGAAATTAATAATCAGAGAAATTCAATTTTATTATTTTTCTCCTCTTTTCAATATTTTTAGCATTATGACTTTGTTCTAATGCTTGGAAAGGCTCCAGACTGCGAACAAAATAGTGCGAGTTGAAATTTCACACGGTCAAATTGTGCGAATGAACGCCGATCATTAGGCTGACCTGGTGGCCTTCTGTCGGCACAAGTTATTGTCATCGAAAATGGTATTATTTCGTCCACAATGACTCAGTCTCTCTCCCTGCCTGACAGGTAAAACAGTCAATTTCACTTTTACCTTGTTCCAATAAGAAAACAATCTACAGACGATTATGGTAAGAAGTAAGGAGTAGAGAAGGAGAGAAGGAGGCTGGAGGAGAGGTGGAGGTACGACACACCTGGTGACAGGAGGTGGTCAGGTGCAGGGAGACAGAGTCAGTTCAGAAGAAAAAGTAGCCCCCACATTCAGTCTGGTGGTCTGATGGTCCAAATTTGAACAGTGACCACAATTCTGTCTAAATAAACATTACTGACTATGGTATTGATATTTAAAATACGCTCCGCTCATAGAAAATAGTGCATGTTGATAAGAATTAATCAGTTTCAACTTGGGTAAATCTGTAGAATGCTCTTTTCACTGTTTTCCAACAAGTTTTTGGTCGCACACCTGACAGAGGAGCTGCACTGCAGCCAGCTGGCAGAGTCTACTGCAGCCAGCATGCGACCAAACAAGAAGCTTGGTGCACCAGTGCTACCAGTGGAAAAGTTAGTCTGGAGCCTTGTCTAGTATTGCACAAAAGACATTTTTGAGTTCTCTCTACTCCTAGTAAAAGTTTGTGCTGCATAGTGGTGCATGACTTTATATTGCAGTGAAAAGTGAGCTTTGTGAGTAAAAATGTGACAATAGTGAAACATGCCTAGAAACTACTTGGGGTTCTGAGGGTTAAAGAGTAAACTCTATGAAAAGCAACCATGAATGAGGCTACATAATGAAGGAACAGCCAGAAAAAGCACATCTTGTAGACACAAAAAGGCTGGCCCAGAGACAGGCAACCTACAATGCTCCCTGGCCTTGGAGTTGATCTGTTGGTCTGGGGTGCTGACTCTGAAAATCCCAACTGAACAGCCTTTGGATCAATCAATAGCAGACAGTGCAAATGGGGAGACTTGTGCCCCGAGATAGCACCACGCCAGCAATTAGTGTCAATAAGTGTCATGCCCGGTAACACTGTGATGTAACACTGGTTACCCTGAGATTTACTGTCATGAGTAAAAATGGCTCCATATCCGAGTGTGTTCCGTGAAATACCGGAAGAAGATAATGTAAAACACAATACTACTCTCAAACCACGACAGTGATGTCTATTTGTTGATGGTTGGGCATTTTAGTAGCATGTCATGCAATATTTGGATCACAACATGCTCTCAGGTTTTATCTTCGATGCATTTTTAAAAATGTATTTAATACAGCAGAGCCACACCCAGAGATTCAGTGTTTCAAAATAAAGGCGTGCTGACAGACAGCAATGTGTGACAAATAAGCTTGATCAACTGCTTGGTCAATCTACACAAGTTAATCACCCTGGCCCTTAATAAAATAAATGGGCAGCAGAAATGTGTGTGAATTAGTTTGATGTCTAAATACCTACAGCATTGTATAAAGGTGGAGTCTGTGATTCTGGAGAAATGTAATTGATATTCAGCTAGCTAGCATACCTAGTTGTATGTATGTATGTATGTATGTATGTATGTATGTATGTATGTATGTATGTATGTATGTATGTATGTATGTATGTAGCTAATTCTGTTACTCACCAGATGGAAAGTGAGGACACCTGCAGCCCAGGTGAGTGCTCTCAGACTGCTGGGTCTCTCCTTCTGGTGGTGTGTTTATGGTGTCCTTACTTATCCACCAGTGCTTTCCTTTGGAAGATATCAACACCTGAGAAAAAGAGTACAGAAAACTAATTTTGATTTGCTGTTGCATTTGTGAAAAATAAATCCGTAAAACAGTAAAAGTGTATTTGCACTTACTGTGTTTGATGTGTGCATATGTTGCTTGTATCCATAGATGTCTCTAAATAAATGTCTGTTATGGGTTAATTAGTGTGCATCTGGGCTAATGACTAGGTCAGTGGGTGGCCTGTGTGGTTCATGGTCACTGACTCTCAGAAATGTAAGATTCTGGTTTGACTTTGAAGTTCACACATGGGGTCAGGAAAAAAAAAGTACTCCTTGATAATGTTACTGTACGTACAGCTCTTATCATAGCCTCAGTTTACCCACTCTATTAACGCTCCTCAGACACTCACTGACTCACTACTTCCACTGTCATATTCAAAGAGTTTTACAATTTACTCATTCACACACACCATCAGGCTGCAGTGTCTTCATAATGTATAAAGGTTTTCCCCTTCTACGGCTTTTCAACATTGAATCATGGCCTATATTTCACGTATTTGACAAGAATTTACCAAAAAAGACCCTTTCTTGTCAAGGTGAAACAGATTTGTACAAAGTAATGTCAATTAATTAAAAATATAAAAAGTGAATTTAGTGACTGCATAAGTATGCGCTCCCTTCAAATTAGTATTTAGTAGATACACTTTTGTTTGCAATTAAAGCATTGAGCCTGTGTGGATAGGTCTCAATCAGTCCTGCACACGTGGATACTGCGATTTTATCCCTTTCCTCTTTGCAAAACTGTACAAGCTTTGTCAGGTTGCACATGGATTGTGAGTGAACAGCCCTTTTTAAGTCCTGGCACGACTTCACAAGACAAATGGGACCGAGGTCTGGGCTCCGACTCAGCACTCCAGAGCATTCACCTTGTCTTTAAACCATTTGTGTGTAGCTGTGGCTGTATGCTTTGGGTCATTGTCTTACTGGAAAACAAATCTTCTCCCAAGTTCTCTTGCAGACTGCATCAAGTTGTCTTCCAGGATTTGTCTGTACTTTGCGGTATTCATTTTCCTCTCTACCTTTACAGGCTTACCAGGGCATGCTGCTGAAAAGTATCTCATGTCATCAGGCTGCCACCACCATGCTTCACCATGGGTATAGTGATGTTTGTTATGATGTGCACTCTCTCATACAGCTTTGGGAAAAACCTCAGCAAGAGTTGTTGTATACACAGTATCCCCCGTCTCAGCTGCTGAAGCTTGTAACTCCTTCAGAGGAGTCACAGGTGTCTTTCCTCACTCGTGTCTTTCTTGGACAGTCACATAGTTTTTAAGGACAGCCTGTTCTAGGCAGATTCACGCATGCGCCATATTCGCTCCATTTCTTAATAATAGATTGAACTGTACTTCAGGAGATATTCAGTCTCTTGGAAATGTTCTTGTATCTTTCCAAACTTATGCTTTTCCTTTTTGCTTGGAGTTTTCTTTTGACTTCATAGGTTAGTTACAGCCATAAGCACTGATTCACTGATGACTGGGTCCCCCACATACAGATGTCTTTATACTACATTCCCTCGAGTCACATTCACTGCACTCAGATGATCTCCATTTCATTATTAATGTGACTTCTAGCACAAATTGGCTGAAGTCTGTGAATAAAGAGGTGACTTTAAAGTGACTTAAGATTTAGATTTAGAGTAGAATTATTCCAATTACAGAGCCTCGAAAGAGTCCTGTATCTGTTATCTTTGATAATCTTCATAGATTTTATTTATTTTTTTAATTAGAAATCTGCTTTAACTGTGACACAAGTCTTTTTTTGTAAATTCTTTTTAAAAAGCAAAATTCAATTAACAACGATTCAATGTTGAAAAGCAATAAAAGGGGAAAACTTCCAAGGGGGGTAAATACTTTTAACAGGCACAGTACTGCACAAGGCCTGGATTAACCATTGAGAAACAGTTTGGTTTAGTGTCTTCCCCAAGGACACAAAAGGAGGTGGGAATTTATTAGTAAATGGTCTGCATGTACCTTCTGAACCACAGACGCACCACATTCAAGAGATGACGCGTTAAGTGTCCAAGAACGCATTAAGTCAAAGTATCACCTTGTGCTCTTGTTCATGTGCAAACTTCCCAGTTCTGACTTGAGGACAGTACTTTCTGAGCATACGATGAGGCGACAGAACAACCAGGACAAAGGCACCCTCCTCCCACTGATTTAAAAAAAATTAAAAAATCAATTACCTAACAATAAACTATAAAGACAAGAAATCATGAAGTGTTGTTTACATCAAGCTTGGCTTCACTGAAAAAAAAAAATTAAAAAAAATTCCACTATAATTTTCACGGTAAAACGGCCCCAGCAGCAATTTGAAGATGCCTTCCAGGTCCCCCCACACAGCCTGGTGATGTGCAGCCTTCCCCAGATGTCGGCTCATCTGCCTCTCGGTACATGTAATAAACTGTGGAGATAAGGTGAGAAATCTAAAGAGGGAGGGTGCTACTGCTGCTATCTTGTTATTGATCTGTACCAACCGACAACACCCTACAGCTGCGACCAGCTGTTTTACACCTCGATGACAACATATAAAACATGTACTCATACCGATGCAGAAATTCAGCGACACACTGGACCAATGAATTTGACGGTTGAGGGAAAATGATTACCATAACCTTACAACGGTAAACAACACAGTGGCTTACGGTACGGGCGATATTTTAAGTTAATAATGCTGAACATCATAAAAATATAAAGGAGAGATTTAATGTGTCAGTTTGTTTTTGGTATAAATCAAATAGAGTGGAAAGACTGATTACAATAATATTATTCTACAAGAATTTTTCAAATTTTCAAACACAAATGCCAAATATTTTCTGCTCTATTGTACCTCAAGCCATTTAATTCAGTCTAGAGAAGAAATACTGTGAATGAAAGTTTATGCCAGTGCAATTCATATAAGCAGTGAGTGAACAGCTTAGTTGTGTTTACTCTGTTTACTGTGAGGTATTAGGACTGAAGGATTATGGACATAAGTGAGAAATCTCTGTAATGCACTTTACATGGGGTTAAGCTCAAATGATGTTCATAGTCGTAACAGTTGAAGGGAGAATGACTCCAGGATGATCACTTTCCTTTAGATTGTATAACTTGCATTTCTCCAGTACAGAACAGTGATTTAGTGCCAAACCTCATGCAACAACACAACACTGCATCTTCACAAACAGAGCTCTGTGTGCTCTTGGATTCCTAAAAACAACACTGTTGCTGGTTTACATTTTAACACCCGTTTAAAACTTCCCACACACTCAGTTCAACCTGGATCGTTTTGAACTTTCTCTCAACAGCTCAGGAAAAACTCAGTAGTTGTAGTTTGTATCCGCCTTCAGCAAGACCTCAGGACATCTGTACAGCATTTGATACACAGCAATGAGGGCGAACACACATGTTGAGTGTGATACGATAAACGAAGGTAACAACAGTGGGACAAAAGCCTACACAACATCAGCATCCAGCCGGAGGAAAGAATAAGACGGATTCTGCCCCCAGAAGCTCCATTAGCTTAGCACAATGCTATGTCTTCTGAATTGCTCACACGGTGTACGTTGACCCGACCTGCTGCTCTAAAACACAAGCAGAGACGTAGCTAGTCCTCTTTTGAACGCCAGAGTGTGTTCAGGTATTTTTTTTATTGATCAGACTGCTTTCATTTTCAACCTGGATAATGAAAGCAAGAAGCCTCAGTCACTTCATTCTGCTGGACATGAGTTTACCTCAGCCTGACTCACTTCTGTACTGAGCCTGAACGCGAGCAAAGACGCCAATAACAGCTACAAGTGCAGCACATAGCTAAGAGCAGTAAACATGCAGCCTCAACGGGTGACTTACCGCTTCGTTAAAGAGAAAACTTCCCCAAAACTGGCTTCTTCATCTACCGGTGAGTCGGTACACAGCAGACCAACACACAGGAACACATGTAGCCCAACAAGTGTCAGAGCGGACGGAGTGGGAGCAAAGATAGGACGAGGAAGATGCGCTGCATGACAGGGAAACACACTCGTCTTTAATCCTGTAAAATTCTTCCTGCCATAGCTCATGAGCTTCACAAGAAGGGATCCACTTTGTTATTAGACATTTTGATGAAAGATGGCACAATGGTGTTCCAAAAAAAAATAAAAGATTAAGATTTCTGCAGTATGTGAGAGCAGTACGTGTGTACATTTGCGGTATCCAGCAAACGAGCAGAGTGGGACCTCTGTCGTCTTTCTCTTCTTTTGCCGCCTTCAACGACATTGCGGTCTGATTTCTTTTATGGGACTCTGACTCCACCTAGTGGACAAATAGAGAAGACAGGGAATGTGATCAAATCTGATTTGGATTTAACTTTTCTATACCACTTTCTAACTTTTGACAAAACAGGCTGAAAACGTCTAATGCCTAAATGTCTAACATCTTGACACTTAATAATGGAACTTTTTATTCGTTTAGTTGGGTATTGATGAGGGTCTGTTGTTTTTTTGGGGGGTGGGGGGGTTGTCTGTGACTCTTGAATGTGGCAAACTTGATTTTTCTTTCTTTGATTTAACATTGTCAGCATGTGTGTAGCCACCTGACTATTCCCTAATACTATTTTCTGATTAGGATTTTTATCCATCCATCCATCTATTATCTATACACCACTTAATCCTCACTAGGGTCGCGGGGGGCTGGAGCCTATCCCAGCTGACCGAGGGCGAAGGCAGGGGACACCCTGGACAGGTCGCCAGGGCTACACTTAGAGACAGACAACCAAGCACACTCACATTCACACCTACGGACAATTTAGAATCACCAATTAATGTCAACATGGTTTTTTTAGACTTGTGTGAGGAAGCTGGAGAATTAGGATTTTTAGGTATTTGGACATTTAAAGAAAGGTTTTTTTTTTTTTTTGAAAAAAGGTAATGTCTAAACTAAGGATTCATCACAAGCACTACAAACTTATGTACTACTTTACCTCTGTACTGCATCATCACTTTGCATTAATATGTAATTTACATATAAAATACATACATGGTCAAGCCACACAGATGACACACCACACTGTTCACAATGTGTACATATTGTGTGTATTTTGCACATCATACTGTATTTTATCCCTACTGTATATTTACATGCATCTGTCTTTATATTCATATTTATTGAACACACTTATATTACCATTGCTCATCCTATTTCTATACTTGGTGTGTTCATACCACTCTAATCACAGTGTGCATTCTGTTAATACTTTATCATACTATGTTATACCAAGGTTTTTTATATATATATAAAACTTATACACCTTGGTTAGTCATATATTTTGCATCCACTGTTTATACTGTTAATACTGCCCACAGTGTCTGTATCTTCACACATTCAAAACATTCATACCCTTACATCAATTCTACTTAGATATTTTACCCTGCACTGCACTTTTTACTGCTTCTTTTGCACTTTGAAGCTAATCTGTATTTACTAGTTGCACTTTGTGCAATGACAATAAAGTTGAATCTAATCTAATCTAAGCAGATCTTCATTTCGAAAGCACGGTCCTTACAGATACCAAAAGTGGTCTGCAAGTCTTTTTTTATTATAAATAAATAAATACATAAATAAATAAAGAATATCTGCCAATCAAAATCAATTCACTTTGCACCTGAGAGCTTTTATTCACTTGTTAAATGATTGCAAAGATTCACAAAACATCCACAAATAAAACAACCATATAGGTTGTAGTTTTTCTCCATGTTTAATGTGCACTGGGGTTAGTGTCTCATTATTTTATTCAACCTCTTCTATCTGACTGCTAGAAGTTTTACACAAACCAAACTCTTTCTTGACTTTCAGAACCACCAGGTGGCGATCAAGTGCTGTGTTCTATATTCTGCTGTTCTGCCTCTCGTTTTTGTCTTATATAAACTGAAGCATCAAAGTAGAACCCCTTCATTCAAGTCATTTTGTTGGATCGTACTGATCCTAGACAGAAGGCATCTTTAGGTAACAGTTCTTGTTTGCAGACAGTGACTATACCGTCAGTTAGAGCTGGTTGATTGACAGAAAACTGACATGCAACAGTTTTACTATTTTCTTAAGCAAAAAAGTAAAATATATGCAGTTTCTAGCTCCTCAAATTTGATAACTTGATGCTTTTCTTTGCCATACATTACCGTAAACACAGTATTTTTGGGTTCTGGATAATGGACTGCTGGCCAGACATTTGAAGGAATCATTTACGTTTTAAAAAGGAATTCAAGTGATCTATTCCCCCTACTTATTTAAATACATGGTTGCAAGAAAAAAATGATTTACTGATTTGAATAAATAATTTAAGGTGAAAAATCTTTTTTAAGGTTTGAGTTGACACAGTTATGTTGGTGACTGCATCAACTTAACACTGTGTGCTATTTAAACTCAAATTTTAAATGAGTTGAATTAAAACTAAATTCAAGCTGATGTAACTCAATGAAATTTGCTCGATAACTTAATATTTCATCACCTTGAGCTCAGGATTTCAAGTCCCCTCCTCTGTTGTCTTGACAATTTCAGATGGTTTTGACAAATAATAAAAAACAAACAACCAAAACCCCCAAAAATAAAATACAATTGTAGAGGAAAAACTCAACACAGTTTGTTGTTTCAAAATAATTTCACGAGACATTTTCATAACTCAAATAACAAATAACATTGAATAATCTGATACAAACTGTACAACACAGTACAGTTTTGTGTAGTATAGGACTGATTCCCTTTTTCACTGTTTACTGTTATATAGTCAGATCATTAATTAGAAAAATGAACTGCAAAGTAATTGCTGATAAACATGGTTATTATTTGCTCTAGTTCAGCTTAGCAACACGTATTTCCCATTTGTGTATTTAGCATCAAGACAGAAAAACGCTTCTTTTAAATTTGGATAGCTAAAATGTTTCCAGTCTTCTTTCTATTAAAGCAGGTCACCCCACACAACCCCTGCTTCTGTGTCGATCGAAAAAAACGATGTCGACCATTAATCTCTGACACTTTTTTAAACATCCTGTACAGATTTATCACCATTGTGACGTAGTATCCCTCCCACCCGTACTCATGCATCAGTCAGATCTGTCCATAAATCTGCTCTCACTTTAATGAGTAGAGAGGTAATCAACAAGAAGTGATGCCAGGCGTGGTAATAAATTCTGCAGGAGTATTAATTGGGGTTTTGAAGGGTCAGAGGACTGTGCCTGTAACATAAAGCACTCTGTCACATGCTTCTCACATTGTGGTTCCCATCTTATGCACTAAGGTTGCCCCATTAAAGCTCTGCATGAATTGGATGATCGAATGAAAGATTTTCCTGTAAGAATTTCCTCTGTGAGCCGATCCTATCAAGCATTTAGGAACCATAACTAGTTATCATGGACAATATCAGCTGCTCATTGTTCGACTTAATTGAAATGTTGTTTTGGGAGCATATCTCAGCTGGGTGTGGGCGTGGTGAGGAGGAGAAAAAGTGAAGATTTCATCCTTTACTATTGTCCAGAGTCACAACAAATCCACTTTTTGTTCAGCCGAATCTTAATTACTGTTAATCACAATTAACTGGCCAATAAAGCAGATAGAATTAATAGACAATTGAGGGCCAAATGATGATTATTTACCCTAACAAAACCCATAGAACGAAGGCAGAGGATTCTATAATAAGGAAGGCTTGGTGATCAGAGGAGGAGCGTAGAAATGGCCTAAAAACAAAAGAACGTGTCCAGAGGGGAGGATTACATTTATCAGGACTGCAGAGCCGCCACACAGACAGAGACGGGATCAGAGAAGGATAACTCACAGAAAGCAGGCTTAGTGGGGAAAAAAAAAGAAAGAAAAGCTGTAGCAATCTGAATAATAAAAGAGTAAATGTGTGAAATGGGACAAAAAAATTAAAGTTTTTAATTATTTCGGGTGTATTTTGGAACATGAAATTGGTAATTGTGTCAACAATGATTCCGTAAAATTGTTATCTCCAGAAAAGATTTGCTCATGCCTTTTACGCCGTGCAGCATTTTTAAATGAATTAATTAGGCGATCACAGTAATTACTGTTTATATTGTTGTTAATGAGCCCAAAGGCAAGCGAGCTGCACTCATCCAAATTACACTCATGAGGCACGGAGCCAAGAAAAGGTCCAAACCAGAGTGCCGCATGTTAAACATTCCCTGAGTCTTCCTGGTTAAGAGATAACCAAGAGCACGCTGAATTACACTTTAACCTTTAATTTCCTTTTGACCACGAATCTCTCATTAACACGTGTAATTAGTTTTGAGGATCTAATAAAATATACAGATTTTAAACAGTTGTAAACCCCCCAAAAAGCACTACGGATGTGATAGCAACTGCAGTTTAATATGCATATAAAACAGGGGCGTCAGATCACAATCACTGTGCCATTTTACTTTTTTTTTTTTCTCATTTCATTTTTCATTTTGTCAGGTATCTATCTCAGATTTTTCCTTGCCATCTGTCATATTTGCTCTGACATTTACTGGCAGCATCTTGCCCATGTTGTATTTCATCAGGCACTGCAGCTACCTGAAGCACAATAGCTGAGCGTCATAATGGAAAGGTCTTATTGTAAATATGATAATTCCATCAGGTGCTGTAATCAGGTTTGTGAGTGAGTGACATGCACAGATTCCAGCCTGAGGAATTTATGTCCTTTTGTTTTTTTCATTAATGAAAATGTCAAAGCAATGGAGTATATAGTCCATCAGTATTAGAGTGTAGATCCTGAACGGAGGTCAGGTGCACCTTTACACCACAGTTACACACATTCAGTACCCTTATGGTGCTTTCTTTCTTTCTTTCTTTCTTTCTTTCTTTCTTTCTTTCTTTCTTTCTTTCTTGCTTTCTTTCTTTCTTTCTTTCTTTCTTTCTTTCTTTCTTTCTTTCTTTCTTTCTTTCTTTCTTTCTGTTAAGACCAATGCATCTGCAGGA